CGATTTGGGAAAAGACAGGTTCGTGTGCCCAGAAAGTCAATCACATCAACGCTGGTTTCTTGTGTTTTCATAAATTTTTTTTGTGGAATCAGCTGATATTAACATGTGGCTCACGTCTTCTTGATATCTACAATTTCTAATGCTTTCCCAGCGTTGTCTCCCGAAATGCTGAACAGTGACTGACTTCACATCAGACGGAAAAAAATTATTCCCATCATGTCTGCTCAAGACCGTCGACAGTCATTTTTTGTACTGTGAGACAGCAGGTTGCCATGAATTAAAGTGAATACAATGGTTTCTCATTCTTGATCGAGGTCACCAGTGCGTCAGATTCGTGAGATTCACAATTCTGAGTGTTTTCCAACGAGAAGAAAACAGGTTTGCAGTTTCTGTTTAGTAGCTTTGAGCAGGGCGAAATCCAGCAATACAGTAAAAGTACTTTCCATGGGCGCAAGCTATTCAGCATCGATGTATCGTGTACAGAAAACCCATCGGAAGCCAAATATTTAAGGACATTGAATCTAACTTGACCTCATGATAATTCCCCCTATTCATTTGCTTACTTCGCCTATGGACTTCTGACTCTCCACTTATTTTGCTTATCTGTATCCACCACTCGCCTTGCCGCAAAGACTGACCTTTCCGATACCTGTGTATTGTCATGCTTCTGTGTGATTGTGCGCAGCTGGCCTACTTACCCATGCGCGTTCGTGTTCCATTTGCTGAGCCTGCCTTGACTTGTTTTCTCATAAGTGCCGCGTGACCGCACCGTCAATGAGGATCACGAGACCGTCGTCGGGAGGGACGACCGCAACCCACACTACTGAGCCAACATTCCGTTCGCCATCATACCGTGTACGGAAGTTGACACTGCACTGTGCCGGTCAGTAGCAGACTTGTGCACTTGATGACGCTACGAACGTGGGCAGTTGAGGTCTGTTGTTTAAATCTGCTTACCCTTGTATAGATAGCAACGTAGAATTCCAAAACCAACTCTTCCCTTTGCTATTCGGGATTGTCGGACCTACGCGTCACTCAAAGTTTCCGTATCGGGAACTCCAACAAAGAACCTCTACAATATTCTAACGATTACGGTCAATAACAACTGAGTTAAAAAAACTAATAACTGGCCAAGCATTAGCTGGTAAAACTGAGCACCGCAAATGTGAGGTAACTAGTACCGCAATGCAGTCATCTTGCGCTATAAAGACCACCCTTGATACAGCCACTGAATTTCAGTTCTTTATGTCCGTTGTTTGTTGACGGGTCTAATCCATGGAGGGGGGTAGAAAGCTCGTAAGACAAACAGGAATTGCACGCTCAGTATGATCTCATAGGAAAAAACTGCAACCACCAACCATGCTTATGGTGGTCCGAAGAAATTCTACTTAAGCTTAGAGAGTAGAAGGCGATTCCATTGTGCTGATGGGAGCTATAAGCTCAGAGTGCTTGCATAAGGCACTTCTTAACCCAGTGCCCACAGAGCACTGCATTAGCTAGTTTGTTTAGAGCCTTCTGTCTGCTCAAGAGAACCTCTCAGGCATATGAACCAATCCCAATTGGAGTGCTTACCTCCGCCTGCATTCGGCCAGAGGAGGATTACCACCGACCGATATATTACTCACGCACCAGAGGTGAATGGCTATCTCGGGTACAGGTGCCATGGCTGGGAACCGCAATAGCCACGAGAACGATAAGAAGATAGTATGAGCAAATGTATTGAATTCTGTATATCACAGTGACCGGATCCTTGCTCCTCAGGAAGAACTTTGTTTGCGTTTGCAAAACGGCGGAATGGAAGCGATATCCAGAGCTTGCGGCTTATCTCAATTAGCGTATAACACATGAAGAGACTGCGAGTGAAGACCTTAAGTAAGGCAGATGCACGGACTACCTCATATCTAGTGAATTATCAGGGGTGTACGAAGATAGCCTCTAGAGCAGTTAGCCCAGGAAGCCTGTTGTTGACTTGCCACTGGAATGGGGGCCACACTTGAACCTCGGACTTACCCACACGCTACAGATATATAAAGTGCATTTTCTGTCACCTATGCTACAGTATGTTTGGTATTCAGTGCTCCGTGGAATAAGCTGGAAGCCTTTCACATAGTAGGGATTCACTCCCACTGCTCGAAGGCACTTTATCAGACGTAGACGCAGAAAAGTATACCGGATTTGAATGTGATGTACACACTTGGATGGAACACAAAGTGTTTTATATACTAGTTACCGGAAGTAAGCCATCATCACGCATTCCGGCTCATGGGTTCAGGGTGTCTGGACAAACTCACATACTGCACTGATTCTTGCACACAACGCTCGAACTGATGACCGCACACTGCAGCATTTGAGTATCTCATATGAAGCACATTCATGACACTGTTTGTATTCTTGGGTGAATATAAGTCCGGAACCACACACGGACATGAGTTAATAGTCACCACTGTATTTTCAGCCTCCTCGAAGGGGCCAACACCAGGTAATCATTCTGTGAGGACATCAAGTAGAAGGAGCAAAAGCAAATGGACAGTTCGTTTAATTATCGGGTCAGCGTTGCTGATGGGAAATGAACTGCGAGACAACAATAATAGGAATAATAAAATGGAATTAATATGACCCATACAAACATTAGCAGGCAAACATACCAGGCAAACTGCCCTGGTATGTTCAGTATGAATTTGGAGCCAGCCCTTTCACACTATAGGCCGACACCGATTAGGTCAACTTTTAGCTGCTGACCAGGTGAACTTTGACGTTTTGTTGGGCTTCACAGTCGGCTGGCGAACGTCACACGAGCAGACATCGATAGTGCGCGGTTTGATGGATGCTTTCTCGAAATCCACTCTACTCAACACAGTTTATAAAGAGGAGCTGATACTTCCAATTTGATTGGTCGTCTCAGGGTTGTTCCGTGGGTAATTCTGATCGGTCTGTTTGGAATTTGTTCTGCATCGTAAGTTCATTCTATTGCTTCTGGTTGCTTAGCTGAATATCCTTAGCCCATTGGTTTAGCCTTGGGTTTCCACCTTTACCTCACCGTTGATTTTTCAGCTGAACAGTCACTTTACCAACTTTCATTTATTGATGTGGTTCGTTCATTCATTGTTTCTGTTGCACTGTGTCCAGACCTTATGGCCACTCATCGACTCATATGACCTATCCGGTTCACACACTTTATTTGTTGTTTTGTTTTGCCCCTCAAGACTATTGGTTCTTATTCGGGTTGGATGTATACCTCACTTGTCAAGACTTCATTATCTAAGCTTTTCTGCTACTTCCTGTTGTATTTTCTTTTCGCCTTTGTTTATACTTTTGAGCTTGGGAATTTCAGCGTTCTTTCTGTTCGAGATTTCGGTAGATTTGGTCATTCTCATTGCGCTTGCCAATGCATCCCTCAGTTGAGCACCACGTGCCTACTAACCAACGTTCTTCCCCTGAGATAGGGAGTGAACTTGTTTCCAGTTGTACTCATGTTTTCGCTGGCTCCGTGCAACAGGATTGGTTCTACCTTTCAGAGACAAGTTGATGATGCATGGCTTGTTTCACTCAAAGCCTCGGCAGGAGTATAATTAAAATAAAAATCCAAACTGAAAGGAGCCAGTTTTTTGCGTTTTGAATTCCGAAACCACAAATGACTCACAATCTAACATAGAACTAAACAAGGCAAGAAGCACCTGACCTCCAAAGGTTTGATGAACACAGCGAACTACCAACACCAGAATCTCCTACACTGCACATGAGGACCTTCTGTCTTCCAATGAAAGGATGCACCAGAATGGGTAAGCGGACGGCCAAAACCTAATGACAAAGCCATTATTACGACGTAGGTATTTTCAGAGAGATCCCACTTGCTAGTATTTCAGTACCGAGCAGTACTGAGCAGAGTCTAGACCATGTTTATATTGAAACAGGTATGCCACCCGCTAGTTGGGAATAAACTCTTTGTCTATTATTATCCTAAAGTGTTGATTTTCTGATCCTGCTTAAGCTTGACACGTGCTCCCAAAAGATACAAAAACCTCTAATAGCTTCTCCTCTGTCCTCAATGTTCACTGAATTTTACTTGTGCCAATTTGGACATGACCCCATCTGATTTGGACGATACCCACTATTTGTGGGTGGCTTGTCCGTTTCCACTGAATCCTGCGTACCGAAAAATCTCAATGGTCATGTTTTCTTCTGACTGTACTATTATGACCCTTCTTGAATGCATACCACCCTAACCTTATATTATTAAGGTTTGTGTCGCTGTAGATATTAGTCCACGTCCTGGTAAAAGTGCGCCTGTCATGTTCACGTTCTCGGGGTTCAACTGTTTGATATACAAGATCAAGACATCTGCTCCAGCTTATCTGGCCGGGTCTGTACCTGTAGTCCGCGGTTCTTGTTCAGTTGAAAGGCGCAGGCGACAAAAATGGGTGGCGGTGCCATCTAGGTTCTCAGGGTAGTTTAATTGCCAGCACGAGGACTTCCATGGAAAAGCGTCTGAAAATGTCCTAAACTGAGTGGGACATTGAGTGCGAACAACCTTCGGACAAAGTTTATTCCACTCATCAGCTACCAGAAATATGAACCATTGCTGCCTAATAAACGTGTGCTCTTTGGACACGAAAATTTTATTATGTCCCCACAGTTAAATAGTTTGATCAACGGCAAAGAACATGTTGACAATGTTGATTCCTTTCTTCTACCCTCTATATTATGTTGACAAATTCCTTTCTTCTACCCTCTATATTGTACAACGCGATTCCTCCTTTGTGTTATTTTGGTCTGTGCCTATACCACCCTTGTCTTGTTGTACCTGAACATAAACCGTTCTTTGACCTTGTCATCGGACGTGTCGTTTAAGTTCACACGTGGTTTCGCTAGCTTGTAAACACGTGGCTCCGAGTCGGCGTGGACTTTGAGACCCATTAGGAATTAGCAGTTCCTAAACCGGTGTATGGAAGCCCACGATTTGAGGTTTGTAAAGCTTTATCATTTTATTATTGTACTTATAGTACCGCATTTGTAGATAAACCTCCATTTGAAAGAATTGGCTTTTGGGGTTTTGCGCGTAACTCGATGTGGTTCAACGGATTGCTGGAATTAATCTATAGTACTCAAATCAGGAAATCAAATCTCAAGTACCCGATGGATCTCAGACGTTCAGCCCAATTGGAATCTGGAACTTTGTAAACAATATGCCCAGAACAAGAAGCGGCAAGTCATTCGAAAATGTGTCGAACCCAGAACTTGCTAATGTTATGAACGATATTTCCGATAACGTTGTTGATCGTGACATTTGCATTTCTCAACCTCCTTTATTTTGTCAACATTCTCCCCCTAAGCCTAGCGTAGCTGGTAGTATAAGGTCCAGCAGGCACGTGGGTAGACAGAGAAGTAGGTTAGAGAATGAGATACTGGAAGATGAGCTTGCAATAGAAATGAAGGAGCTGGAGATTAGAAGGCGTAAGTTAGCCTCCCGTAAGCAGATGCTGTTGTCGTGTGACTCCTCTGATGATGAAAACTCGATATGTGGTGACTGTGAACTTGGGTTTCCATCCAGTGAACCGAAGGCCGGGAAATTCGTAGCGAAGTTCTATTCAGAGGAAACGGAACGCACGAATTTATCTACTAATCGGCCTAGAAAAGGTGACGCGGCCGGGACTCGAACCGCGGCGCACGAGATGGACGCCAGACGTGCTGACCACTACACCACAACGCCAGGATTCAACCTGCCGAAAATAGAAATAGATAAGTTCAGCGGGAATCCGATAGAATTCTGGAAGTTTATGAAAGCGTTTGAAATGAGCGTAGCTGATCGGCTGTTTGACGACAGCAATAAATTGATGTACCTTCTCCATTATTGCTGTGGGGACGCCAAGGAGGCCATTGAACACTGCGTGTTCCTCCCTGGAAAGACAGGCTATCAAAGAGCCATGGATATCCTAAAGACGCAGTTCGGAAGGCCACACGACATTGCACAGTCGTTCATGAACGAGCTTCTGACTGGAGGGCCCATTGCTCCCGGAGACGTCGATGCCTTACGAAGGCTGATAAGGAAAATGGTAAACTGTGATCTCGCATTAAGACAGATGCATTACATGGCCGATTTGAACTGCTCAACCAATCTCAAGCGTATAGTGGAACGTCTACCTTGGCGTTTGCAAGAAAAGTGGGCTGAGGCGGCAGACGACATACTGCGTTCGGGATCAGAGCCGGAGTTTGATCATTTAGTATCCTTTCTTAACAGAAGTGTATCCATTGCTTCAAACTGCTACGGTGTTATCGCCAGCACAAGAAGATATGGTAATCAGATAGACAAAGTAGGCTTAGAACGCCCGCCTAGAAAGGCCCGCATCAACGTCGTAGCTGTGAAAGCGAGTGTGACTTGTCCTCACTGTTCCCAGACTCATAGCCTCTCAGACTGTGAAGTGTTTGGCATCCTACCCCAGGTCAAGAAACTGAGTATACTGAGAGGCCTCAAGTTATGCTTCAATTGCCTGGAGCCTAACCATAGAGCATTTGAATGCCGCGTCCCTACACGTTGCGACGTATCGAATTGCAACCAGCGACATCACCGTCTGCTTCACGACACACAGCGGATGGTTGTTAAGGCAACAAAGGCTGCCAACATCAACTCAACCGTAGTTGGAGGGCCCCGGAACTACCTTGGTTTCGTAGCAGTTCGGCTGATTGGCCCAAAGGGGACTTTGCTAACTCATGCCCTGTTGGACAATGGATCTGATACTACCCTAATAACAACAGACGTGGCGAAACAACTTGGGACAGAGGGAGAAGCAACGCGTGTAGAAGTATCCTCGGTAAATGGCTCCGATATCAAGGATACTATGACCGTCAGCTTTGCCATGCAGTCTTTGCACGACGGGTATGTTGTGAACGTCGACTGCGCCTACACTATCAGGTCGCTTCCCATCACCAAGACTTCCGTTCCGGATGATTCGCTGCTGAGCGAATGGACGCACCCAGCGGACGTTCGACTCACACGAATTCCTGGAGACGACGTCTCGATTTTGCTAGGAACCAATGTCCCAGAGGCCCACTGGGTTATAGAGCAACGTCGGGGTTCTCCGAAACATCCTTACGCATATCTCACGGCCTTGGGATGGGCAATCTTTGGACCAGCTCCTCCTGCAGGGCCCAAACGAATATTACAGCGACTGTGCGAGAAGAAAGTAGCCAGGGATGAATGCATTGATACAGCCATGGAAAATTTGTGGGACTGTGGGCAGCGAGATATACAAAGAGTCGGGGCGTCGGAAACCCCTCGATGCCTCCTGCCTACTGGATTTGATGTACGCCACGCAGAGCTGCATGTCTTCTCCGACGCCTCAGCAGTTGGATACGGATCCGTTTATTTACGTTGTATACGCAGTTCCGGGCTGGTATGCTATAATTTTCTGCTTGGCAAATCCCAAATTGCCCCTATGAAGTCTGTTTCAATACTGCAACTGGACTCACAAGCTGTTGTCTTGCCCGTAAGGTTGAAGAGCCTGACCCAGAGGGAACTGAGTTTGAAGATAGACAACATATACTTGTGGACCGACTCTATGTTCGTACTTCATTACATCAATAACAGAAAGTTCAAATATAGGACGTTGGTCTCTGATAGGTTGGGATTCATTCGTGAAAATACCGAAGTATTGCAGTTGGGGTATGTGCCAATGCAAGACAATCCAGCAGATCACTCATCAAGAGGAGTCTCTGGTAGCCACATGGATGTTCTAGACATTTGGTTGCATGGTCCCGCCTTTCTACAAAGCCCAGAGCACCGGTGGTCAAAAATGAATGTCAACTGCTCTGCTGAAGACATACCGGGCCTTGAAGGTAAAGAGTCCAACGTTCTGAATACCACCGTCTTAGGAGAATTAGCATTTGACAAACTTCTCTCTTACTACTCTTCGTGGAATAGGCTGAAACGAGCCATAGCGTGGATGAAGCGATTCAACTTGTATCTTCTCATAACGTCGAATAAAGAAGAGAAATGTGTGGTCTCAGTTAGCCCTCTGTTGCCTGATGAACTGAAAGCAGCAGAATATTCACTATTGCAATACGTGAAACAGCATGCTTTTCGGCATTCATATAATTCTGCCGCCGGGAAGTCATGTCCCGATGAGACCCTGGATGTGGCTTCTGTTGCTATGCATGGGATATACCTGTCAGGTGGGCTGGGTGGAATTTGGAGCAATGTTATAGGGAATAATTCTGCGGGAAGTCATGTCCCGATGAGACCCTGGATGTGGCTTCTGTTGCTATGCATGGGATATACCTGTCAGGTGGGCTGGGTGGGTGGAGGAGCAATGTTATAGGGACATGATGTCAGCATTGAGAAACAGGTTTGGCCGTCGTGCCTCAGATGATCGGAACTCTCTACGGACCAATAGCAGCTCGCTTGATTTCCTCAAAGACGCCTATCAACTTGGTGAAGATGACCGAGTTCATTTCAAGGTTCCATTCGATCCACAGTGCCATGGGTCGGACGACATCAAAGTGTCCACATTTGACAATGGTGTGACCGTACACCCGAAGAAGTTTGTCCAAACCGATCAGGCTTTAAGCAGTCGAGAGTACTCCCGAACATTTTACATACCCAAGTCGGTTAACAAGAATCAACTGGAGTGCCATCTTACCGAAGACGGTGTGTTAATGCTTGAAGCTCCAGTGAAGACGTAAGACTACAAGTCGATAACTTTCGACCGTGATCGCCAGTTAAGCATCAAACCACACTCCGAGACAGGCTGGACAAAAGCGAAAATTCGAAGATGCACTAGCAATCCAACTAACTGGTGTTTTCAGACCGACTGTTCTAAAGGACTACAAGTCTGGAGGCAAAAAGTTGCATGTGGAGATCCCAGCCGACCCGGAATTCACTGCGGAGGACTTGTGCGTACGAATGGACGCAAATCGCGTCGTGGTACCCGGTAAAAGGGAGACTATGGATAAAACTGACAATTCGAGTAGCACCTTCATCAAAGAGTTTTCACGTTTGTATGATGTGCCACGAACGGTTGACACGTTCTCTGTCAATGCTCAGCTGCAGGGGGGACAAACTCTTGGTAGAAGCACCCTTGTTGCGTCCTTGTAATTCACAATGAACACATTTGAAATTACTCAGTTATCATGCATCAGACTTCATTCTTTTGCAATACAAGCCATACAAAAATCTGCCTGCAGGAATAGGTAAAAGATAGCTAGTTGCTCACCACCCCAGGAGCGTGCTGCAGATTGAGAAAAGCGTTTGTGGCTAGAGCAATTATACCATTCTCGTTGATCTCTTTCTTGCATGCGGTGGGTTGGGCTGGTAGGTTGGGGAAAGCCATGCTGGCTTTGATGGGCGGTGTTGATTCCTTTCTTCTACCCTCTATATTGTACAACGCGATTCCCCCTTCTTTGTTATTTTGGTCTGTGCCTATACCACCCTTGTTGTTTTTTACCTGAACATAAACCGTTCATTGACCTTGTCATCGGACGTGTCGTTTAAGTTCACACGTGGTTTCGCTAGCTTGTAAACACGTGGCTCCGAGTCGGCGTGGACTTTGAGACCCATTAGGAATTAGCAGTTCCTAAACCGGTGTATAGAAGTCGGCATAGTCCCACGATTTGAGGTTCGTAAAGCTTTATCATTTTATTATTGTACTTATAGTACCGCATTTGTAGATAAACCTCCATTTGAAAGAATTGGCTTTTGGGGTTTTGCGCGTAACTCGATGTGGTTCAACGGATTGCTGCAATCAATCTAGAGACAAAACCTTGTTCACACATGGCAGAATTAGGTGTTAGGTCACTTCGAGGATGACGACACTCAGAGGTAAATGTTTAATCACCGCGCTTCATAACCAGCGGATTAACATTAGGGAATCTTTTTCACAGCAGCAAGTTAGACATGCTCACTAAGGGTTACGTCCTTCTTGCGTCCTGAATAGACGGTTTGATTGGCACATTCAAGAAGCCGTCTGGCGTGGGCCTTATACAATTTATAAATTTTCATGCAAATAATACGGGGAAACGTGCGCCATGTGATCCGTCGAAAGACAATGCCTTCTGAGTAGAGTTCTCGTGGTTTAGTGAAGACATTTTTAAGAGAGCATGGTAACTAAATCCTTTTCGGTGACCATCCATGTAATGTCTTCCGGACCATTCTTTCCATGCATGACAACGATATTGTATGAACCTCA